ACTGAAAGTTCTCAGTGGTGACTTTTGCCGCTGCTAAAAATCAATTTTTTTATAGTGTTACTTAGCATGCAAGGGTCACAACAATAGTAACAATGTGCCCTTCATAAGACACGTAATACCAAAAAAATAATAGCTATGTGGTCATATATAATATGCATCAAAACATGTACGGGGTCACAATATTAACAACATGTGCCCCTGTCAAATTATGCCAGACCATAATAATAACAACCATGTGACTGGGATATAATATGCATGATCAATGCCAACCTTATACCCTCTCGATACCTCCAATATGTATGTTCATGAAGTCAGACTTCCTAGGCCTTCCACTCATGAAGAGCTATCCGGCCAAGGCTACTACACTCACTTGTGCAACACGATTTTTCCCAATACTAACAACTATGGGATGTCGTACCCCTAATATAGTCTTCTCATGAACCGATGAAAACTAGTTAGGTTCGAGTTTCTCAAAGAATAAGTGGGTCAGTCCCTTTACAACAATGGGAAATGACTACCTCTAGATTCTAACAGTTGGCAGCCTAGCTCACTTACAATTCTAAGTTAAGTAGCCAATATCATGTGGATTTACAACATCTACTCCTCTCCTTATAGGCAAACTCCTGCTTGATATCATGCACATGAAACATGCTTACTCTAGCATAAAATTTCTTATTAAATGTACTGCACGCAATTTCTCAATCATTGAACTCTACTAACCATTATATTCACCTTTGATTATTATTCCCATCATATATTCCATTTCATTCATATCACATTATCATCACATCATAAGTCTCAGCATGTTCTTATGTTTATGCTCAAACATACCATTTATCCACACATCACATACATATTCATATAGACAATTATTCTTACACTTGTCATTACATCAATCTCAACACATCACATAAACTTACTCACATTGCCATAATTTGCATCAAATATCAGTTTACAAACATCACTTAATTTTCAAACAATTCATTTAAACATATAATCAAATAATAAGAAAATGCATAAACCAAATTTCCCCTTATTACTTCAAAACTTTGAGAGGCCAAAGGTTTATCCCTTATGACCACTTGCTTCTGAGCTAAACTCAAGCTTTCTGGTACTTCATGAGGTTAGTTTACAATTAACATTAGGGCTAAGGGTAAAAAATGTCCCTGAAGTGTATGCAAAGGTGCACAAATGTCCCTAAACTCAACTATGGGTCATTTATATCCCTCAACCTCAAATGTTTTTTATGTTATGACCCTACCATTTGATCCATTTATTTTTTTGTTAGTGGGGCCCAATTTTAAATTTTTTAATATTTTTATGATAAAATATTATTTATGAGTCCCACGTTATTTTTTTAATGTTTTTTATCCTCTTGCCTATTCTCTCTCTCTCCCATCTGCTCGATCTCATCATCTTCTCGTCCACACTCTCTTCTCCCTCTCCTTCTTTGCTTTGTCTTCCATCTCCCGTCTCCCTCTATGCTTCGTCTCTTTGTCTTTCAAAATCCCATCTCTCCCCCCTTCGTATCCTTGTCTCCTCTCTCTCTTCTCTCCTTACTTTCTCTCTTAGTCTCCCGTCTCCCTCTCTACTTCGCTTCTCAAGGACAGCATTGGGCTTCAACTCTAACATTCATGGGATCCCAATACTACTCAAGGATAGCTCAACAAGACAATAACAGTGAACCTTAGAGCGTTCACCGTACTTAGTGGACGATGACCAAAGATAGAAAAGGTAGAGAGAGAGAAGTTGCTCTGTTTTTGTAGAAAGAAACAGAGCAAGGCTGCACTACCTCCTCTCCCTCTCTCTTCTCTTTGTCACCTTCATTCCTTCTCTCTTAGATTCAACTTTGCTCTTTCACCCTCTTCACCGGACCTGACCTGTACCCCATTCCTTTCTCCTATAGCTCATTCACATTGCTTTGACCACACCCCAACATGAACTCGTTCCACACATGAGTAGCAAGTACCTCGAAGGACGTGGACGATGACTTATCGAGGCATTACTCTTGAGCTAGTCGAGGCATTGAAGATGATGGAGGTTGGTTTCAGGTTGCTTAAAACTTGAGTCTTGAACACATAGAGATCCCAAATAGGTTTGTGTGCCAAGGTACAGGAATGGCCGAGGGTGCATGGAGCTATGCATGAGAGGAACAGACGATGATGGAGTTTGGACGTAGAGGAAGCAAAGTGAATGAAGTGAAAAGTAAAGCTTGAGTGGAAAAATGTAGGGAGGAGAGAGAGGGGAACCATGGAAAGAGGAAATAGAGGAGAGAGAGAGAAGAGAAGACGGAGAGAGGGCAGGAGAGAGAGGGAATGGAGAACGGACAGAGAAGGAATGGATGAGAGATTAGGAATGAGATGAAGAAATAAAGTGGGACCCACATGTAAAATATTTTATTATAAAAAATATTAAAAAAGTGAAAGTTGTACATACATGGCTTACTAAATATGCAAAATCATGGGCCCCACGAAGCCAGAAACGGTCAACATATATTGATTAAACGATAAGGTAATGAAGTAAAAACTTTTTGAGGTCAAGGGATATAAATGATCTATAGTTGAATTTAGGGGCATTTATGACCTTTCATGTGTATTTTAAGAATAAAATTGACTTTTAATCCTTAACATTATTAATACCCATTATTAATAATCATTAAAATTACCACTGCCAACATCTAATTTCATACTTTAATAATCAAATTTCTAAACTACAAGATCAACCTCACATTTAATAAGTTCCTTAATTCTCATTAATTTCATTTAGCTCTCAACAACTTAAATAATCACTAATATATCATCCAACAACCCCAAATCATCATCAATACCACAAATTACTCACTTTTAACTCTCAAATTTCAACACTTCAATCACCCAAAACTCTCAACTCTTTAGTTTAACTAAGCAACATGACCATTGAAGCCAACAGCCAAAAACCTTGAATACGAGGAAGGTAGATCCTCAAAATCTGCAATGAACTACTTGCTTGTTAAGTTGTCTCGTGTTGTTTTTAAAAATAAAAATATTATTGTATTATCTTATCTATAATAGAATATATGCGTAATTTTCTTACCAAAAAAATTATATGTAATTTTTTAAGACACACAATAATATATATGCATTTTTTGACCAATCTTTGATCAATTATATTAAAAATGTAATTAATTGTTCCAAAATTGTGAAAAATTAAACTATTGTATTCCTCGTATGAGTTTTAATAAATTTATTGCGTATAATATACCATACGTTAATGGTTTTGCGTATAAAAGAAAGAATTATTCATATCTTTTTTTCCACCAAACTAAATAACGGAAACAGCCCACAGAGAGACCTAAGCTAAAACTTTAACGTACACTAAACGCACAATCAGTAACCCATAGAAACTATAAGCCAAATAATAGAGCACAAACAGATTTATATGTGAAATTAAATATTTACAAATCTACTATTTTCTCTTTATTTTTAGTGCAGTGCTAAAAAGTCTATAAACTAAACATATATGCAGGTAATAAGCATGACAATATCAAAATTTTCCTTTTAAGGTATCCATACTTTAATTAAAATTTTTACAAATTTTGATAATTTTTCAAAAACTGTGGCTCAATACAGTTTTGTCAGAAACTGTCAAAACCGTGGCTCACTGAGCCACAGTTTTGGAGAAACCATGGCTCACTGTGGCTCATCTAACTATATCAGAAACCGAGCCAGAATTTCCTCTTATTTAAACCCCCTTCATTTTATTTTCACCTTCGCGCAATCTAATCTGCATTTTCAGGTACGCATGCTTCATATCTTTCCTCCTTCTTCTTTTGTTTATTTTATGTATGTTTTGTGTTTAATATATTTTATTATATATTTTTAGGAGTTAAAAAATTCTCTAAATCATTATAAATTTGACATTTTGCTACACATTTGAGGTCATTTATTTTTTATTTCATGTTATATTTCATTTTTTAATTATATAAAATCTTATGTATGATATTTATTAATTTTTTTTTAATATGCATTTGATATCTATGAATAGGATAAGTTAAAAATTAAAAATTTAATTTTTTAGGATGAAATATGACATGAATTTATGTTGTAGTATTTTATTAGGTTTAAATTTTTAATTACAAATTTTTATTTTCCATATAGAATAATTTAAATGTTACATTAATGTTTAAACTAAATTTATTTGTTGTGCTTAAATTTATGATATGCATGTTGAGATTTTTATTTTTATTATTTATATTTATTTAAATAATAAAAAATATGTTGAAATTTTATGCTTAAATATCATAAATTGTAAATATTTTTATTTTGTAAAAAAATGGATAAATCTTAGATATCTAAACTTTGCAACACAAGAGAATATATGAATGGTTTGGAAGGATTTTTAGATTTTGCTTTTGCAAATAGTGATGTTGAGGGTAAAATAATTTGTCCTTGCCCTAAGTGCAATTTTAAAAAATGGAATGTTCGAGAAGAGGTTTGGAACCACTTAATTGCTAAACCATTCCCTCCTAGATATACATGTTGGGTATTACATGGTGAAAAATGCAAATTCAGAGTAACTTCATCCAGTGGCCCAGTTAACGTAGGAAATAGAGAATAAGGCAATGAGGCTAATGATCATATTCATGAATTAGTTTGTAATGCTTTTGGGTTTCAAGAAGAAAATTAAACTTCAATTCAAATTGAGGATTCATCACAAAATCAAAATCAAAGGATCAATGAAGAGATCAAAGAATTTTTTGAATTGGTGCAAGATGGGAAAAAGCAATTATATGATGGGTATGAGAGATATTCAAAATTAGCATTCTTTATTAGATTGTATCATATTAAATGCTTGTGAGGTGTAAGCAACAAAGCTTTATCTATGATTCTGGAATTATTAGCCTATGTCTTTCCATTTGCTAAAATTTTCTCTTCATTTTATGAAGCAAAAAAGACTTTTACTAAGTTAGGATTGGAATATAAAAAAATTGATGTTTGCCAAAATGATTGTATGTTATATTGGTAGGAAGATGACAAAAGAGAAACGTGCAAAACATGCAATACATCAAGATGGAAATTGATATCCAAAAATAAAAAAACAAGTAAAAAAATCCTGTGAAAATTTTGAGATACTTTTCATTAAAGCCACAATTGCAACAACTGTTTATGTCATCTAAAACTGCAAAGCATATGAGGTGGCATGCTAATGAAAAGAATGTTGATGGCTTGATGAGGCATCTGAAGGATTTTGAAGCATGAAAAAATTTTGACATGACTTATCCAAATTTTGCTTTAGAACCTCGAAATGTGCGGTTGGCATTAGCTACTAATGGTTTCAATCCTTTTAGAACTTTGAGTAGTACTTATTATAGTATCTGTCCAGTGGTTCTTATGCCTTATGATCTTCCCCTATGGATGTGTATGAAATAGGGTTCATTCATACTTTCAATGATAATTCCCAGACAAAAAGCTCTAGGAAATGACATTAATGTGTATATGCAGCCCTTAATTCAAGAACTTTTAGATTTGTGAAATGTTGGAGTGAAAACATATGATTCTTATTCCAATGAAATGTTTAGAATGCATGCAGCACTAATGTGGACAATTAGTAATTTTCCTAGCCTTGAGACATTGTTTGGGTAGAATGTTCATATAGGATTAGCATGTTCAACTTGTAATTTTGATTGCTCATCATTTCAACTATCTAATAGTAAAAAATGGTGTTTTATAGGTCATTAATGCTTTTTAAATGGTACACACAAATTTAGGTTGGCTCATGCTCGATTTGATGGAAAATCAGAGTTGAGAATGCCACTTAAGGTTTGTTCAGGGTGAGAAATTTTGAACTAAGTTGAAGTGTTAATGTGATTTTTGGCAAGGGTAATGATGAAAGATCTAAAAAAAGGGCTCAAAATTCAAGTGATAAGGATTCTCAACAGTGGCATAAGAGAAGTATATTTTTTTAATTTTACTTATTGGTCAAATAACATGCTTCGCCATTATCTTGATGTGATGCATATTGAGGAGAATGTTTATGATAATGTCCTTTTCACATTATTGAATGAGTCTGGTAAATCAAAAGATCATTTACAGGCATGAAAAGATTGGAAAGAAATAGGCATTAGGCCAGATTTGTGGCTAGATGATAATGAAAAATTTTGTCCAGCCAAGTTTATATTGAGCAAGTCTAATAAAGATGTCTTTCTTAAGACATTAAAAAATATCACTGTTCCAGATGGATATTTGAGTAACATTTCTAGATGCGTTGATTTGAGACAACAGAAGATTGGGAGCTAAAAAGTCACGACTCTCATGTTTTGATGCAACAATTGCTTCTATTAGCAATGAAAAATACTCTTCCAAAAGAAGTATCAACTGTGCTGACTAATTTGTGTTTTATTTTTAGAAAATTGTGTGAAAAGGTTGTGAATGTAAGTGATCTTGACGAGCTTCCAAGTCGAGTTGTCATCACTTTATGTCATCTAGAAATTTTTCCACCTTCTTTCTTCACTGTCATGGTCTATTTAATTGTGCACTTTGTTGAAGAAGTCAAACTTGGAGGTCCTGTGCAATATCGATTGATGTATCCCATAGAGAGGTGAGTGAAAAATATATTTTTTGAATATCTAAAAAATATGTTTCTCTTCACAATACAATTGTACATTTATATTAAAGTTATAAATTATTTGTAGGTTATTGGAAAAATTTAAATCATATGTTCGAAATAAAGCTTAGCCAGAAGGTTCAATTGCAGAAGGTTATGTGGGTGAAGAAATATTATTATTTTGTTCTAGATATTTAGATGGAGTTGACACTGTTTTCAATCACCCTTGTCAAGTTGATGATGAACCTATTTCAGTACTTCTGCCCCTACTATATTCCCTCCGGTTGGAAAATATATGGGTGACTTTGAATACTTTACTCTCACTCCCAAAGAGAGATTACAAGCACATCAACACATGCTTACAAATTGTCGAGAAGTTGATCCATTCATTGAGTAAGTATTTGACGATAATATTATTTTTAGTGAGTTTATTGTTTTAGAAAAAAATATTAAGTCATTTTTAATATAGGAAATTTTGAAGAGTTGTAAAAGGACAACTACGAAATAGAACTTGATCATCTCTTAAAGTTGATAAGAGAGTTCATAAAGAATTTGTTGATTGGTTTTTTTATAGAGCAAGTTTATATGTGGATTATTTTATTTAAATTTTCTTTAACTTCATATATCAACTATGTATATGTTTGTGTTATTAGATACGGAACGATTTGTTTAGTTCGACTCTATTGATTTAAAATCTCTTGTTGCTAGGCCCCTTGATTTTGCATGAAGATTTACTGCTTATAATGTGAATGGGTTCAAATTTCGCACTCTTGAACATGAGCAAGGGCTTACAAAACAAAATTGTGGTGTGTTTGGTATGTTTGGCACAATAAGTTATCTAAGTAGCAGAGATGGTGATATATGCTTTAGTGGTATGGCTTATTATGGAAAATTAGTTGATATAATTGAACTCAATCATCAAGGAAGATTTACAGTGACATTATTCAAATGCAAGTAGGCCAACACTTCCAACTGTCGTGGGATCATTATTAATGAATTGGGGATCACATCAATATTTTTGAGTGACTGTTGTAGGTATTTAAAGTCAATATTTTTTTATGTACATTTTCTTGCTATTTTTTTTATAATCTTTTTTTCATATGAAAGTGGAAACACTTCTACTCAATGCTTAAAAGCAAAAGATGTGTTTTTGCTTCAAAATGGTGCAAGAATTCATGTGAAGTGGAATACAATCAACCAATTAGAGATGTTGGTGGGCTCTTGACAAGTTTTCTAGGAATTCTTGCGATTAATTACAATAATTTCCCAATAAGATATCCTGATTGGTGCAAGGTTCTTGACATAATGAAGGATCATGTTTACGAAAATATTGTCAAGGTAATTAGAAGAAAAACAATGTTTCTTTTCATAATTGTCATTAACTATAATTTATATTTTTTATATTAATATCTTATGCAGGCTCATTTTTTGGTTGATGATTTCAACTACAAAAAAATTATTCTAAAAGCAATGGGAGAAAAGTGAAAAGAATCAAAATATGATTTATACAAAAACAATCAAGATGATACAAAATCAGTAGAAGAATTGAAGAATGATGTGCCGAATTGTGTCTCTAGAGAAGATTGAGCAGAATTTGTTGATCACCATACAAATCTTAACACGGAAGTAAGATTTTGTTTTTAAATAACTTTTTCTCAAAATAAAATTCATTTATTAATAATAATTATTTTTTTATAGATGATTTCACATAAAAATACTATAAGTAAGGGTCATTTGAAGATTCACCATATGAGTGGAACTCTCAATTTCGTGAGGAGAAGGGGTTATATGGTATTTTTTTTTAATTTGTCAAGTTAAATATTTTTATATATTTTTTATTTAATAACAAAGATATTTTTTTATAGGAAGAAGAAGATGGACGACAAGTGAACTTGGTGGAGCTTTATGAAGTAACTCATTTAAATAAAGAGGACAATACTTACAATGAAGAAACAGCTATAGCCATTGTAAGATAATAATTATTTGATTAAAAATTAATTGAAAATTAAGTTAACAGATCAAAAATTTTCAAATTTCTCCTTTTTTAATTAGGAAAAACTCAAAGAATATGAAAGTCAACATTCATCAGATTCTAGTGTTAATGACATTTTAGTACAAGCTTTAGGCCCAAACCACTATGGATGTGTGAGGGAATTATGATTAGGTCCAACATCGACAAAGTTATTTGGACGTTCTCATTCAAGTCAAAGTAGATCAGGCCCCTTTGTAGAAAATGAACTTGATCAAATGAGAGTAAGGATGTCACAAGTGGAGGAATAAAATAAGAGATTGCAAGAAGAGTTGGCTCTAGAAAAAGAAAGGATGACTCTGAAACAAGAAAGAGAAAGGATGGTGTAAAGTCCCGTCTCAATCCAGGCTTTACCACTCCCATCACACAATCAACCAATATAAAAACAATAAAACATCATAGTAATAGCCTTTTATTTGTTTTCAAATCACAGGACCCCAACTTCTTAAAATATATATTCAAATAAGAGTGCTAACAGAAGCGCAAACGCAGTCAAAATAACTCAACAAGATATAAATTTTCAACCCTAAAAAGGGCCATACACCGTCGCGTGCAATATGTGCACCACGGCATGTGGCACAGAGACATACACTCTGTTCCTAACCGTGTCATGCAAAAATAACAAATTTTCGGCGTATGCCATTTTTACAGCCGACATCCGATTAGAGTGATTCAAGTGTCCACACGAAGCTTACCAAGTATACTAGCTAATGGAACAAGTTTGGCCTTGATCTGATGGCCCGATCTAAAATTAAACACTTAGGTGTAAAAAGTCACTTTTTCTTTCAAAAACTTACACCACAAGTGCTCAATTCTCATTCCTTATCCCATTAGATCACTTTAGACTTTGAACCAAGTCTAAAAGGACCATATACACCTGATTGACACTACACATCACATATATCATATCAATAGCCCATGTTGGCCTCTCAAAACCACATTACATAATTTTGGTCTCATATGAGGAATACACATATCCATATATACAACTAGACTTATTTTACTTTCAATCCTCTAACTCTTACATATGGGGCTTCGCCTCACTATATGGTCAGAAATTACAAATATACTCAACTCTTTCAAATGGGGATCCGCCTCACCATTTGTGTTAAATTCTTACAAAACAACACAATTCTTAATTAATACATAATCATCACATATATACACAAGTAGAACAAGTTACAATACAACATATACTTACTTGTTTCGCATTTAGGCCTACCCACGTACCCTCCACAAGGGTAATCTTGGCATAATGCAACACCATATATATATATAAGCAAGATTCACATCATAATTCAACATACAACCACTTATACATCCTAGTTGGCAACTCAAACTCTATAAACAAATTTATACATTCATCTCATTTAATGGTAATCATACCACTACCAACTGAAGCTACTCTTTCCTCTCTTCCTTTCCCAGCCTTCTCATGCTCTTTTCACCTATGTTCAAAAGTAATAGAGTGAGACATACATCCCAGTAACTCAAAGGTAACCCTAATTACCGATTACTAAGCAAAATCATAAAACAAGCGATAAAGTAGCATGTATATCGATAAAAGCAATATCATATGCATATACAAAAAGTCATTCTCATCAATCTCGTTATGCTCATGCAATGTATTCCTTATTCCACCTGGTAGAGAAATCTCTACCCACGGACCAAGACTTCCAGTCACAAGAAAACGGGCCCACCATACAGCTGTTCAGACTAGGTAATCCTTTTTACGTTTGGGTAGTCTCCTAGGTTTATCATGGTAGAATTAAACACTATGCTTTGAATCATTAGGACTTTCAAGCCTTATATAGAGTAGGACTACAACCCCCTACCCTAGTCTAAATAACCTCATAAATCATTCAATATCTTAGGTCTGTCGTGGCGGAGTCAAGCTCTACACTCTGGATCATCAGGACTTTTCCCCTAAGTCTATCTTAGTGGAGTTAAGCTCTATGCTTTGGATCATCAGGACTTCCTAAACCTCCTTATGGTAGGGCCGCGTCCCCCTACCATAATCTAGTATATATCTCGTAGATGTGATACATGTCAATGCACGTGTCACTTCAAATTCATTTCAATCAACACTCACACATTCGCATGCATATACTTTTACAATGCTGCTACTCTATCACTTCATAATACAATACAGGTAATTATATCAAAATACTTGCAAACAATTTCACAAACGAACAAGTGAAAAGGTTACTCCAGTTACCTTTAACCTTTGCTATTAAGGGTTACCAATCACAGTAAGCTCCCAGGGGCACAGATTCTCATGAGCAACTTCACAGGTGCTCAATCTACATAACACAGTGCCCCTCAGTCAATTCCCATCACTTTCCGCAAGCATTAATTTGGCTAAACCAAATTCCTTAACATGCAAAATAGTTCAATTAAACCATTTTGAATTCACTTATTCATTATTTATAGTAATTAGCCCTATAGACTATTCAAATAACTATAACAATCTCCTAACTCACTTATTCACCTAATTTCTCAATTTAACCTAACTTACTTAGGCTAAATGAGCCTAAATCCTCAAAGCTCAATCATTCAACATCATACTAGTCACAAAATCTTAGTTTTATATTCAATATCTCGTTTTAACCCTTTCTTTTATATTAAGACATCTTAGAACTTCATGACTCGATCTCTTAACTGATGAAATTCAATGAAAAAGGGGTAGAATTGAAGCTTGGGATTGCGTGATACTTACCTAATAAGTTATTAATCAAACTAGACTCCCGACCTCCAGATATCGCTTGTCCTAGCAGAGCTGAACGTCTCCACCCCTCCAGATACCTTTCCAACCTTTTGCTTTCTAATTTCACGAGCTAATCACGTCAGCTTTAAGTGATTCTTAGATGATGCACCACAATGTATGTAGCTTCCGTCGTGGCGTGTGGCACAGTGAGTTCAACCTTACTTGTGCTTACGTGTTTTGTCTCGGGTTGTCTTTCTACCCTTCAATCCTATCAATACAACATCCAAATAATATAAAATACCAATTCAACATCCAAACCACAATCAATTCATTACCCTTAATTAGAAACTAGTTCCTGGGATTGAAATTCAAGATGTTACAATTATCCCCTCCTTTAAAGGAATTTTGTCCCCAAAATTCAAAGACAAGCACAAGCTCACCTTTTGGAACAAATGAGGGTACTTCTTCCTCATACTCTCCTCCATCTCCTAAGTTGCATCACCAAGAACCATTCCTTGCCAAAACACCTTAACTAATCAGATAGTTTTGTTACACAACTGCTTCTCTTTCTTATCTACTATCCGTTCTGGTTTAACATAATAAGTGAGATTTTCCTGAAGCTCAACGTCCTTTAGCTCAATCATATGTGACAGATCTGGTTGATACTTTTTCAATTGTGACACATGAAACACATTGTGTATTTTGGATAAAGGCAGAGGTTAAGTGATCCTATATGCTACAAGACCCATGCTACTCATAATTTGATATAGTCCCATATATTGAGGTGTTAATTTCTTAGCCTTTATAGACCTACTAATGCCAGTCAATAGTGAAACCCTGAGAAATACATGATCTTTTATTTCAAACTCTAATAGTCAACGCTGTTTTTCAGCATAACTGTTCTAACGGCTCTGGGCAGTAAGTAGTTTTTGTCGGATAACTCTTATCTTCTTAGTGGTCTGATCCACAATATCAGGACCAATCACACTTCTTTCGCTCAATTCAACCTAACATAAGGGTGATATGCACTTTCTCTAATACAATGCCTCGTACGATGTCTGAATACTTGAGTGAAAGCTATTGTTGTAGGCGAACTCAGCTAAAGGTAAATAACTATCCCAGCTGCCTTTCCATTCAAAGGCACACAATCGTAACATGTCTTCTAGAGTTTATATTGTGTGCTTAATCTATCCATCAATTTATAGATGATAGGAGGTACTAAACCTTAACTCGATACCCATTGCTTTCTGTAATGCTCCCTAGAACCTTGAAGCAAACCGGGTATCTCAATCTGATACTATATCCTTGGGTACACCATGTAGCCTTACCACTTCTCTCACATATACTTTTTAATTGGCAAGAAGTGTGCCGACTTTATCAATCGATCCATAATAACCCACACAGAATCATATCCTGCTTGAGTTCTCAGTAGACTAGATATGAAGTCCATTAAAATGCTATCCCACTTCTATTAGGGAATCTTTAGAGGTTGTAGAGTCCCAGTTAGTCTCTAATGCTCAATCTTCACCTTTTAACATGTGAGACACCGACTCATAAAATTAGTAACATCCCTCTTCGTACCTTGCCACCACTAATACTTTTTCATATCACGGTACATCTTGGTCACACCAGGATGCATCGTATATTTGCTCCGATGAGCTTCTTCTAAAAGTCTCTTCCTAATCTCTTCATCCATAGGTATACAAATTTAATCTTTATACAGGATGAACCCATCATCACTGAACCAAAACAAGGTAGTACTACCTTCCTCTATATCCTCTCGTACCCTTGACAAAAACTTATCTTTCAACTAAGCTTCCCACATTTCTTTCCAGAACTCATTAGAAATTGTGGTTCAATGAATTGCATTCAAAGTATAATCTGATGCCTCAAGTTGCACTTCTAGCAAAGATAACAACAACTGGTGTTCTTGAACCATCAACCTAGCCACATGTAATGACTTTCGACTTAAAGCATCTACCACTACATTGGCTTTCCCTGGATGGTACTTAAACTCAAAATTGTAATCCTTTAGGAATTTCATCCATCACCTTTGTCTCATATTGAGCTATTTCTAATCCACAAGATACTTCAAACTCTTGTGATCACTATGCAATTAAACTCCATTCCATAGAGATAATGTCGCTAAATCTTGAGAGCAAACACTATAGTTGCTAGCTCTAAATCATGTGTTCAATTACTCTCCTTGTGAGGTCGTAACTATCTGGATGCATAAGCCACAACTCGATCTTCTTGCATCAACACACACCCCAGACCTTTCAAAGAAGAATCTACATAAACCTCGTAAGGCAACCATGGATCAGGAATAATCAACATCGACACTGAGGCTAACTTTTCCTTAAGCTTTACAAA